AACTTAAGAATGGACAAACACAACGTGGTATATCCATATAATGGAATATTCAGCAATAAAAAAAGAACAAAACATCAATACAACATGGATAAACCTTGAAAACATTATGCTTAGTGAAAGAAGCCAGTTACAAAAGACCATATGCAGTATGATTCTGTTTTTATGAAATGTCCAGGACAAATCTATAGAAAGTCAATTCCTGGTTGCCAGGGGCTGGGAAGTGAGTGGGAAATAGGAAGTGACAGCTAATGGGTAAATTTTCTTTTGGAAATGATGAAAATATTATAAAATTGACTATGGTGATGGTTGCACAGTTCTGTAAATATACTAAAAACCACTGAATTATACACTTTAAATGGGTGAACTGTAGGATATGTGAATTATAGGTCAATAAAGCTCTTAAAAATGTTAGCATAGGTAATGCTTGGATACTATGATTATAGGTTTGTTTGGTTAATTTAGACTTATCTATGATTTTTTACATTTCTATTAAAAAATATGATTACTGGGGTCCCTGAGTGGCGCAGCGGTTTGGCGCCTGACTTTGGCCCAGGGCGCGATCCTGGAGACCCGGGATCGAATCCCACGTCGGGCTCCCGGTGCATGGAGCCTGCTTCTCCCTCAGCCTATGTCTCTGCCTCTCTCTCTCTCTCTCCCTCTCTCTATCATAAATAAATAAAAAATTAAAAAATATACATATGATTACTTTGAGGGATTTTTTAAAAATTTCCCATGTTGTGCTCACTTCAGCGGCACATACACTAAAATTGGAATGATTTTAGTGTGGCCCCTGTGCAAGGATGACAAATATGTGAAGCATTCCATACTTAAAAAAAAATCTTCCCATGTTACCATATAGAAAGCACCACACACACTAAAGATTTAAAGAAAGGGAAATACACCTTTCCTTATAATAATGGGAAAACTGGAAACAACCCATAGGACCTCAGGAAGGTGGTCACTAGGCAAAGCATGTTTATTACCATATCAATCCTGGTCAGTATGACTATAGTCGCCAACCTCAAGCTGGGCACAGAAGGCTCAAATGCTTTTGGCAAGGGATGATTTAATAAGGTGCTAGTGACAAATTCAATAACATACTCAGAAAATTTCCTAACAGTTATAGAAAACTTCTGTGAAACTAAATATAAACTTAGAACACATATTTTTACACTGCTGTATTTGCTTTGTGTGAACAAAGATCACATGATAATCAGAAGTGATGTAGAGGGGCCCCTGGCTGGCTCAGTCAATAGATATTGCATGTGACTCTTGATCTCAGGGTCGTGAGTTCAAGCCCCACACTGGGCATAGAGCTTACTTAAAAAAAAAAAAAAGAAGAAAGAAAGAAAGAAATGATGTAGAGACTAAAAATAAATTAAAAAAAAAAAGAATGGAAGCAGGGAACTTATGATTACTTTTAAAAGTTCTACTTTTCCCAATCTGGTCTGTTGCACTCATTTGAATATCACTAAGACTGTGTTGCTCTGAGGCAGACAAGTCTGAAACCAAACCGGGTATATAGGTAAAGACAGAGATAGAAAAGAAAAAAAAAAAAAAAAAATCCCCAACCCCTGGGAAATACAGCCAACCAGCATGTTTATTATTCACAAACTATGATTCACTGTCCCTATTTTTTTAAGCCAGCATCACACTCTAATCATATTGCTAGGTTACAGGCCCCTAGTTATTTGTGCATAATAAAAACTGAATCCATTAAAATGATACATTACATTTTTCTCGCCTATATCATCTCTTTAGGGAGACCATTTGATCATTATAAAACATAGACAATATTGAACCTAAAGATTACTTTGGATCCCCAAACCAGAGAGGTTTCCAGCGAAAATGAAATCATTATCCAAAGATTCCTCAATCTGAAAAACGGAGTCAAAATCTGAAGCAGGCAAAGAACAGGTTTACCCCAGGAGGCGCTACTCTGTCCAGGCAAGAAATCTTAACGTAGCTCACTGGTTTTACATTTAGGAATACAGTCTACTATTGAACTCTCTCAAGAGGAACTCTCATACACATTTTCTCTTGTGCTCTGAGAAGCTAAACTACTGTGGGAAGCCCAACTGACAGGCAGGTTAATGAAACAAAAAACACACACGTGCACAACTACAGTCCAATTTCATGATGAGCAGCCCTGATCTGAGCTTGATGAAACATTCTCCTCACGGCGTCAGCATAAATACTTGATAACTCCTACGAGGATAATTCATGCAGGTGATAACTATCAGAGCAAATGATAAGCAAGGACATTCCTAGTTAAGACTTGCATCCCAGATGGTATCCTCAGTGTGTTTTTATATATACATGGTCCTCAGTTCTTGGTGACATTGTTTATTCTCCTCTAAAACTGAAACACTGGTTATTAAAAGAAACTGTATATATTATAGTTGAAGAAAGTATTTTGCCTCATGTACTACAGATCTCCCTGGTACTTGGCAGAAATGGCACATAAACACCATTAAGTAAGGACTACGTGACAGCGATGATGTAACGCACACACCAACGTTAGGTACAAGATCCAGGTCTAGGAAGGAGGGAAAAGACTCTAAATAAGCACAATTTGGATTAACAAGAGACAGCCTGAAGTTAGTAACACTGATGTTACTGCATTTTGGATATGATAGCCTAGAGTCTCAGCCTATGATGAGTCAATGTCTGGCTCAATCAGACACACACTCTTGAAAGAAAATCACAGTATTGCTTCCAACGCACTAGTTATTTCATCAATCAAAAAGAAACAGCACTGGGGCACCTGGCTGGCTCAGTCAGAAGAGCATGTGACTCTTGATCTCAGGGTCATGAGTTCAAGCTCCATATTGGGTATAGAAATTACTTAAAATAGATTTAAAACTTAAAAAAGCATTGAAAAATTTCTTGCTGAGGCACAGTATAATTTTTTTTTTAAATGGACAGTAAAAAAACAGGGACGGGGTTTATATTTACTACCTATGATATGCAAGGTGCTTTCACATGTGCTAGTGATCCTCACTTCACATAACGGAAAACAGACTCTCTGAGAAGTAAAATAACTTGTCTGAGGGCACAGCCAGCAAGCGACCGGTTTGAACTCAGGTTTGTCCAATTTTATACCCAATATGTTCTGCAGGACATCACTGCTGCCTAGTTTAACTGCAAACTCTGCAATGGATTCCACTTAGAATATAATAGTTCTATGTGTGAGGATCAAAATTTTTGCTGGTAGATAATTCTAAGAGTGAAATTCTGACATTTTACTTACAAAGCAGTTACATAAAAATGTAATTTTTTGATAAGGGTCTGGAATATTTTACTATGAACTTTGAGAAGTTTGTATTTCTAAATACAATTTGGAAATATTTACACAAACTGAAACTATAGTCCCAAATAAAGCTAAATAGTTATTTTTGGCTCTAAGTTACTCAATAACTAAAATACTAGAATCCTGTGAAAGAACAACCCACGGAAAAATGTGGCGAGGACCATATATATATATACTTAGGCCCTGATACAAAATGATCAATTTCCATAACATTTCTTTGGTCCTTCTGTTTATATTATTTATGAACAGATGCCAAAGCAACAGTTAACCAATCCAAGGTGAAGCGAAGTGTTCAAGTTCAAAACGTGACCCTAGTTATGAAAGTGGAATTTTTTTTTTAATTAGAAGAAAAACTTGGGGTGCCTGAGTGGCTCAGTTGGTTGAGCATCTGCCTTGTGCTCAGGTTATGATCCCAGGGTCCTGAGATGAAACCCTGTGGGGGCTCTGTGCTCAGCGGGGAGTCTGCTTCTCCCTCATAGCCCCCCCCCATATTTCCTTCTTTCTCAAATAAACAAAATCTTTTAAAAAAAGAAAAACTTAACTTAAATGAGTTTTACTGTGAAGTGTGTACAAGTTTTTCTCTAACCCCCATCCTAAATTTGAAAAAGGTGATCTTACATCTTCACGTTTCCAAATTCTTGTTACTCCGAGAGCATGGACTATTATTTACCAAAAGTGCACAACCTCCGAAGACTTCACAGTGTGGTACTCAGGTACACACGTGTCAGTTCTCCACCTGGACACACCTGGTACACGATATACCATATTAAAGGGTACGGTGTGGAAGTCATTAAACAGAACCTGAACCGATGTACCATACCCACATCCTGAACAATGCGTTTTTTAAAAACCACTAATTTAGGTTCTTTCAACTAGAAGGAAAAAAGGCAACTCTGTCCACAAAATGTCCTCCCGAGACACGGAGCCCATATCCACAGGCTGAGTAGAGGCCTTAAATAGTTAAATCAATGTAATCCAGGCGCTTCTCTCCAGGAAAAGATGAAAAGAGGTTTCCAGACGGCTCCACAGAGCCCTCACAAGAGGAGACCGTCTTTCATTTAAAGTTTTGAAGCGGCTCCACCGCTGTCCCACATGGGATCTTAAAGGGAGTGTAAATCCCACAGCTTAACTTGCTTAGCGAAGTCGTGGTGCACAAAAGGAAGCCCCTTGCCTCCGAGTCCTTAGAAACCTGCAAGGCAGGTAAGCAGAACCAACCCCGCAGGTAAAAACGCTGGCCCGCTCCCAGCTGCATTCGTTTCCCGAAGTTCTCGCATTTTCAAAAGTTCAAACAAGGATTATAAACGCAAGACGTTCCCTTCCCCCCGATTACAGGGGCCCTTTTCCATCCTTGCCCCGGCGGCCACGGCCAGGCAGTGCCCGCGCCCACCTGCGGGAAGGGTCCGGCAGGTGGGGCGGCCTCCCAAGCGCCCCGGGCCTTCCAGAGGCCCCGAGGTTGTGCGGGAGCGCCCGGGGCCGCGGGAGACGCAGCCCGTGACAGCGGCGCTGGCCCGCGAGGCCCCTCGGGAGGCGTGCGCGGCGGCCAGGCCGGCCCGGAGGAGCTCGCTCCCCGCCCGAGCCTCCGCGGGGGCGCGCGGGGCCTCGGGCCGCCGCCGCCACCGCCACCGAGCTCCCGGCTGGACCCCAGTCCCCGCGCTGTCCCCCACCCCGCGCTCCTCCGGTCACTCACCCCGGGGCCGGGCAGCAGCAGCGCCAGCAGCGCCAGCAGCAGCCGGGCCGGCATGGCGAGGACTTGGGCCTGGCTCCCGGCCCGGCCGGCCGGCTGCGGGGGGCGGTGCGGGCGGGCGGGCTGAGGACGGGGCGGGGGCGCCGCGACGACAGCTCCGCGGCGGCCGGACTTCAGCGGACGCAGAGCTGACTAGGCGGTGGCGGCACCCCCATGCCCAGCCCTATAAGCGCCGGGTGCCGGCGCTTCTTCCGGTCGGGGCGGGGCCGGGGGCGGGGCTGACCTAGAGGCGGCCCCGAAACTGGGCGGGAGCCCGGCCTGAAGGCGGGGCCGGGCGCGGGGCGGGGCCGCCGGGCGGAGCCGCGGCGGGGCTGCAGCAGAGGGGGCGGGGCCGGACCGGAGGGCGGGGCCGTACCGGGGGCGGGGCCGCGGCGGAGGGGGCGGGGCCGCGGCGGAGGGGGCGGGGCCAGCCTCCTGCTGGCGGAGCGTACGCGGCCCGGCCTCCGCCACGGAGAAGGAGCAGGCCTGGGTGTCCCGAGTCTAGGGGCGCTGAGCGAGTGAGGCAGGGAGCTTTGCCGAAGGCTGAGGTAGGCGGGCAGTCCCGCCACGCGGGTGCACCCTGGCCCCAGGCTGTCCCACCACCCACGCCAAGAAACCCGCTATGTAGGAATCAGGGGAAAGGCCAGGAGACGGGCGGTGCCGGCTGTCCAGAGCCCGCGCTCCGTCCTTCCATCGTCGTGGTGGAATCGTGGGCGACCTCCGGAGCCTGGATCGGGAGCTGGCAGGGAGTCCAGCAAACACACTTCAGCCCATGCGCTGAAATCCGCAGCTCTGGGGTCCTCCAGCTGTGCCTCAGCTAACCCGAAGGCCCCTTTCTGCCCTTTGCCCTCAGGAATTCCCCTCAACTCATGTCCAACAGCCATCTATTCCCTCTGGAATAAACTACAGCCAAGTCATTATCCAAAAATTACAAGCAAAGAAGGAAACCAATTCGACCCGTTTGTATTGTGTTTATGTGGCATTTAATAGATGTGACATTGTGGCACTAGAAATGACATGTGCCACAATTCATTGGAGGGAGTGGATTGAGGACTCATACAGGATCTAATTGAGGATTATGGACTATTAACCTGAATTTAAACGTCTGGCACCTATTTGGTCACTGGGTCCCATGCTGCTCTCAACTTGAATGGAAGCGGGGAGAGAAGACATTGCTTGTAACAAGAAAACCTAAGATTCAAAGCATAACATTTACATATCCTTGGGGAAAAAGAAAAAGGGGAGAGCAATTTCTCTACTTTTTTCTGACTTGCTCACATGACTGCCTAAGATTTTTCAGGGTTTGGGGGAAAGGTGTGGGCAATGCTAGAGAAAATAGCAAAGAGCTAGCAGGAGACTGACCAAATGTCTGGTCCGTGTGCACTGTGGATCAATCCTATTCAGGTATAAGACAAATACTCGTTGGAAGTCAAAATCTGATAAACAGAATTCCCTATTCCCAGCCTCCAATGCCTGGATGGAAGTCAAGGGATTAATCTGTACCAATGCTGGAGAATCCAACACCAATTTCTAAGAATGAATCTTGGCAACTGTGAAAGTGGTAGGCACATTTTGAAAAGTGTTATCTGCATATTTCAATGTGGAAAGGCTTGGGACTGACAGATGTGTGGAAGCAGAAGCTCCAGGGAGCCCTGTAGCCAGGTGTCCAGGGACGAGCCTACAACACAGAAACTGGAAGGAGCTCTTTAATGATTACCTGTCCAGCTTGCAAGCTGACAACAAGATCTGCAAGACCACATGTTTGAGTTAAAAAAGGAGCTTGACTGGAAAATGCTGCTTTCACATCCCTTCTCTGTTGCTTTTTCTCAGAGTAAATCTAGGAGGGGAACTTTCTGTGCTGGAACTCTGGCAGCCTTTTGACAATTCGAAATGTCATTGTGACCCTGTAAACATAGTAGATAAAACACAAAGGGAATCTAACTCATCTGACTCATAGATCGGTTTTAAAGATCTGATGAAAAAAAAAAAACAAAACAAAACAAAACAAAAAACCTGTTCCAAGGAGTCTAGGCCAGGTAGGTAGATTTTGTATCTTGTACTCAGTTGGACCAAATCAGGCCTTAACTGATGGCCTTAACATGATTATAGGTTCTCAGACTTTCTTGTGCACCAGTTAGATTGTTTTTACACTTAGTCGGTTCCCATGTTTTATGCGCTTCTCCACTTGATTGACACTCATATGATAAGCTTTTACTTATGGCAGCACTGCCCATAAGTTTGCTCCATAGTTAAGTACTATTTTAACAGCTTTTTGCTTATGATAAAGCAACAGCTGGCATCACTGATAAATACAAACAGAAATGGAAATATTTTGTTGGTGCCTTTGAAGTGGATCTGCCCATACAAAAGACCTGAAAATGTGCAGTAAGTGACCTTTCTAGAAGTTGCATTAAATAATATGCACTCAACGAGGCAAAGGTCATGGTCTTTGTGTAAAGATAAGCCCTCTTTTTTCGCCAAGGCAAGAAAAATATGTGTATCTGATTTGACAAGGACTGCAGCAGGACCTGGATATGTCTAAGGAGCTGGGGGTTGGGAGAAAATGAGTTTGCCAAATCTTATTTTCACTTATCTCTAAACCAGTGTTTCCCAAACTTGGAGAATGTTTTAAAAACAGATTTCTGGGTGCCTGGGTGGGCACCCAGTTGGTTGGGCAGAGTCCTGATCCTGGGGTCCTGGGATCGATTCCCACGTTGGGCTGTGGGAGGCCTGCTTCTCCCTCTGCCTGCAGCTTCCCTTGCTTGTATTCTTTCTCCCTCCCTCTCTGCCAAATAAAATCTTAAGAAAACAGAACAAAACAGATTTCCAACACCTTTTGGTGCCCTCATCCCTCACTGATTCTGCATCTCCAGGGGTGGACTCCAGAGCCTGTGTGCTTTCAAGTTTCCGCAGGTGACTGAGGGAAGCCAAGATCCTGGGCCCCAGCTCTCTCATGGTGTCCGGTGTTAATTCCTGTGGCTGCTAATCCCTTTTGTTTATTTTAACAAATGTCGCCCTCTGCTGGAATAAATTATGACTCAGGCTTTAAAGGGCTTGTGCCTCTTTTCTGTTTGAAACCCTTTAAGATTTCATTTAAAAATGATTATGAGGTTGATTTGCAGATAGCTATTTAATGAGAGGGTACCTGCCTTTGTAGTAATCTTCTTTGTGTTTTATTTTTTTTTTAATTTTTATTTATTTTATGATAGTCACACAGAGAGAGAGAAAGAGGCAGAGACATAGGCAGAGGGAGAAGCAGGCTCCATGCACCGGGAGCCCGACGTGGGATTCGATCCGGGGTCTCCAGAATCGCGCCCTGGGCCAAAGGCAGGCGCCAAACCGCTGTGCCACCCAGGGATCCCCTCTTCTTTGTGTTTTAAAATCAAGGGCAGACCCGGTGGCTCAGTGGTTTAGCGTTGCCTTCAGCCCAGGGCCTGATACTGGAGACCCAGAATCGAGTCCCATGTCGTGCTCCCTGCATGGAGCCTGCTTCTCTCTCTGCCTGTGTCTCTGCCTCTCTCTCTTTCTCTCTGTGTCTCTCATGAATAAATAAATAAAATCTTAAAAAATAATAATAAAATAAAATAAAATAAATTTAATTGGGACATTTGGGTGACTCAGTGGTTGAGTGTCTGCCTTTGGCCCAGGGCGTGATCCTGGGGTCCTGGCATTGAGTCCCACATCAGGCTCCCCTGGAGAGAGCCTGCTTCTCCCTTTGCCTAAGTCTCTGCCTCTCTCTGTCTCTCATGAATAAATAAATAAAATCTTTTTAAAAAATCAATTTAACAGATAGTGTATTAGTTTCAGAAGTAGAATTCAGTGATTCATCAGTTGCATGTAACACCCAGTGCTCATTCCATCACATGCCCTCGTTAATGCCCATCACCCAGTTACCCCATTCCCCCCAACCTCCCCTCCAGCAACCCTCAGTTACCTAGAGTTAAGAGTCTCTCATGGGGATCCCTGGGTGGCGCAGCGGTGTGGCGCCTGCCTTTGGCCCAGGGCGCGATCCTGGAGACCCGGGATCGAATCCCATGTCGGGCTCCCGGTGCATGGAGTCTGCTTCTCCCTCTGCCTATGTCTCTGCCTCTCTCTCTCTCTCCGTGTGTGACTATCATAAATAAATAAAAATTAAAAAAAAAAGAGTCTCTCATGATTTGTCTCCGTTTTCGTCTTGTTTTATTTTTCCCTCCCTTCCCCTATGTTCATCAGTTTTGTTTCTTAAATTCCACATATGAGTGAGATCTTATTTGTCTTTCTCTTGAAGGATTCTTGAAAGGAAAAAGTGGTAAAACCACAAAGAAAGGCCATGGTTGGCAGTTCCAGGAACATCTCAAAGGAACAGCATCTTTATTAGAATAAGTTGACTGGCCTTTTTTTTGTGATCTTGCTGCTGCTGCTGCCACTTACAAGCGGACTTGAACTTCCAGCGTGGGTCGGGTAGTTCCAGAATAAGTAAAAACAATGAGGCAAGAGTCTCTGGTAGCAAGTGAAATTTTTATCTCCTTCGTGTCCTGCCATTTGAGGGAAATTTAAGTAAAGCCCTTGTCACTGTGGGCAGTTGCTTTTAGGTAAACAGAACTCTGGTTCTTCCTGTTCCAGGATGACTGGATTTGAAGACTGTGACACTAGCTCTGAAGAACTTCTCTTTACCACAGAAGCCAGCTCACTGAGTGCTTTCTGGTATCACAAAGGGGAACTTTTTCTCTTCTTTTTAAAGATTTTATTTATTCATGAGAGACACACAGAGAGAGGCAGAGACATAGGCAGAGGGAGAAGCAGGCTCCTCATAGAGAGCCTATGTGGGACTCGATCCCAGGACCCCAGGATCATGACCTGAGCCAAGGCAGTTGCTCAACCAGCGAGCCACCCAGGCGTCCCTGAGAACGTTTCTTATTATCACTAGTGAAGAATTACCGACTGTTTGCTATTGTTTGGAAACATGCAGGTACATGCTTTGTGGGATCACCTCATGGTACCTGCATGGTAGGTCCAGGGGTAGGTGTTGTTCACCCCGTCTTACAAATGGCACGTGGAAATGTCAAAGGGTTAACCATCTGGTGGGGGTAACATGCAGCTAGCAAGAGGCATGACCTGGCTTAG